TACCAGTAATACAATTTTGAAGGAAATATATTACCAGAAACAGATTTTTGACAAAACAAAATATTACCAATAATAAAAATTTTTGTCAGCATTGAATAACCCATTGAGGTTGATATGCTGTAAAACAAAATAAACCAAACCAATCTAAACCAAAGAATACATACTCTATTCATACAAATCTATCCTAAAAATGTTGTCGGCATTAAATAACCCATTGAGGTTGATATGCCGTTAAACAAAATAAACCAAACCAATCTTCCCATACTTATTGCTGAGGCTCAGGGGCCATGGACAATTGCATCAATGCTTTTCACTGACTCTTCTCTCCTGCCATGACAATGCACTCCAGTGTTCTCCTTATCTAATCTCTGATCAGTCCAACATTGCTTTGGTCTTTCCACCTGTCTCAGGCCACCAATGCTCACTGCCAGGATGTAGGTGCAGAGGTTAAAAAAAAAAATAATGGTAATATTAGCCATTTCCTTACAAGGAAACATTTGGCATTAATTTAGCCAATGCAGATTTCAGTTGAAATTTATAAAATCTTTCTCTTAAAACAATTTTTCAGGAAAACAGATTTTTCAACTTCAATATTGATAGGGGTTTCCTACTCTTTTGTTTGAAGTAATATGGAACATCAGCCTCTTGATTTTATTATTATCTCTTTGATTTACATGTGATATCCATTTTAACTGTTTCTGCTATTGAAAGTCATCAAATGGTATGTTTTTTTTTGTTATTTGGTGCAATTCTTTATTTGGGATTCTGTAACACCAATCCACAAGGTTCAGAGAAGTGTGGTCTCCTCCAAAACCCTCAGGCTTCACTCAGTCAAAGCCATTTTTAACCATTGATCTTAGAAGGTATCTGACAGTTTAGATATTTCTGAACAGGTATTGCACCATGCATGATGTCTATATGAATATCTCAATCTGACAAGGATATTTAAGAACATGACTCTAGTTTTCAGGTTAATGTTTTTGTTTTGTAAGGGACTTGTAAAACAAGTTAAATTTTCTAAAATATCTGCTTTGGAAATATTTTCTTTGACTCTAGAATCCATTCAATATTATGATGTCTTGTTTCTATAGGGTGTCTAATTTACTGTTTCTTGTAATATCTTGTAGCTAAGATTTGTGATAAATAGCCTTTTATTTTTTTATATCCTCTCTCAGGAGTTACCATGTTGCACACAATTGTCTTTTGTCTCTGTTATACTTATTATCTTGGTTTTATTTTTGTCTTTTTTTTATCATTGACTATTTTTTTGTTTTTAACTCTTTTAATATACTTTTATGATGTTCTTCCTTTAAATATTTCACTTTTTCTTTCTATCTTAATTCTTTCTCATTTTCTTTTACTTCTTGCTTTTTTCTCTTTCTTTTCTTTCATGATTCACTTTTTTCCTTTCTCTCTCTAAATTTCTCTTCTGTTCTTTCTTCTTGTTCTTTATCACTCTCTTTATGGATTCATGATTCATCACTCACTCTCTTTCTTTTTTACTATTTTTTCCTTCTTCTTTTTTCACTTTCTCTTTTAACTTTGATCCATGCTTCTCTTTTCTCAAGTGCTTCTTTCTCTCTTTCTCTTCTTTGTTTCATGTTTCCCTTTCTCCAAATAGTTTTTGTCTCTATCTCTCTTTTTCTCTTTCTTCTTTCTCTCTTTTCCATCTTTCTCTCTTTTTTCTCTTACTTTTTGTTGTTTGTCTTCCTCCTTTCTCTCTTTTTTTCTCTTACTTATTTCTCTCTTTTTCTCTTCTTTCCTTTTTTTTCTTTTTTTCTCTTCCTTCTTTCTCACTTTTTTATTTTCCTTCTTTCTCTCTTACCAATTTTTCTTATGGTTTTCTTTCTCCCAATGGTTATTGTCTCTCTCTTTTTCTCTTTCTTTCTTTCTCTTCCTGTTTATTTTATGATTCTCTTTCTCCTAATGGCTATTGTCTCTCTCTCTTTTTTCTCTTCCTTCTTTCTCCCTCTCATCAATTTTTTTTTCTTATGGCTCCCTTTCTTCCAATGGTTATTGTCTCTTTATTCTTTCTCTCTTTTTTTCTTCCTTTGTTATCTCTCTTTTTCTCTTCCTTCTCTCTCTCTTATCAATTTTTCTTATGATTCTCTTTCTCTCAATGGATATTGTCTCTCTCTTTTTCTCTTCCTTCTTTCTCTCTATTCTCAACGTTTTAGCATTCTTTTTCTCCCAATAGTTATTCTCTCTCTCTCTCTCTTTTTCTCTTCTTGATTTTTTTATGATTCTCTTTCTCCCACTCGTTATAGCCTCTATCTCTATTTTTCTCTGTATTTTGTCTCTTTCTTTGTTTTGGGATTTCTCTCTCTCTCTCTTGACATTGTTTTTTCTCTCCTTTTCTCTTCCCTACTGCTCTTCTTTTTTCTTTTCCTTCTTAGTCTTCTTCTCTCTTCCATTCCTTTTATCTCATTTTCTGCCTTCAGTTTCCTCTTCTCACTCCAACATTTTCCTCCTTTCACTTTTTTTTTTTTTTTCTGTCTCCTTTTCATACTTTCAAACACTATCCTCTTTTGTTGCATTAAACTGTCAATGTTTTTTTTTTATCTTCCTGTCACTTTATTTTTTCAGTCTCCATATCAACCCAGGAAATCTTGTTGTCCTTCTTTCATGTTAGTTCATTTATAAATATGTCTGCTGGGAAGAAGCGTTCAACAAACCCGTCAGTTACAAGGGTTACTTCTAGAATAATCAAAGATCCAGATACAGGCCCATCACGACCATCCTCCAGGTAGGTACCAAAATCTTAAGATTTTAATGAAAAAAAAAAATGACTTTTTCTTGTAAATTCATACCTTTTTCATTTTCTTGATGCTACAACTTTGTTTTAGTTCATATTTCAAGTAGGCATTAAAAAGAATGTTGATATTGTTATATTGAATAGTTTATCAGACTCGGTAACCACTGAAGGTTATGTGATGTATGTAAATACTCTTCGAAAAGGTATGGATCCATCTCACCTTCCTAAATATGGGTTAAATAGGACTTGTACCTGGAAAAATCCTTACTCTCAAAAAATTATTAATGAAATATTCCCTTGCAAAAAACACAAAAAAACAAATTACAATCCGAAATATGTTTTATCTATAAATAATCTGCAAAGGGTTGAAAAGCCATAAAAAACAAATCAATCAGGATCATTTGATTCAATGTTACCACCATTGAAGTTAGGTCAATTACAAGTTGTTAGTTGTTTACAGGATGTGGCCACTGTCAGAAACTTGAATGGCCGCTAACAGGGGTCATGAGTTGTTAGTTGTTTACAGAATGTGGCCACTATCAGAAACTTGAATGGCTGCTAACAGGGGTTACAAGTCTTTAGTTGTTTACAGAATGTGGCCACTATCAGAAATCTGAATGGCTGCTAACAGGGGTTACAAGTTTTTAGTTGTTTACAGAATGTGGCCACTATCAGAAATCTGAATGGCCGCTAACAGGGGTTTAATTTTTTAGTTTTTAAGAATGTGGCCACTATCAGAAATCTGAAAACCTTTAAAGATGGCTATCAGAAACCTGAATGGCTGCTAACAGGGGTTACGAGTTGTTAGTTGTTTACAGAATGTGGCCACTATCAGAAACCTGAATGGCAGATAACAGGGAACCCAAATATAGGAGTACAAGCTTCTGACCATCTTCCTTTTCTTCTACAACTCATCTTTTCCTATGGAAATTTGACTGATCATTCAACAACACTTATTCAGTGCAAATTTGTATAAAATAATTTTTTACCAAAGTGAGTTTGGATGATCTTTTGCCAAAATGTTTATTTGATATATCACATGCCCCAACACTGTGTGATTTGAAGAATTATTGTCCCATCTTTTATATCATTTAACTTAACATTATTTAACTCAACATTATCACTACTGAAGTTAGGCCAGAAACAAGCCTAATGATGGCAGATCAACAGTACACAGCCTCTAGGGGACACACAAATACAGAGCTGTTTGATAAAAGTGACTCACCTGATTTTTTTTTTACTAAATGTTCTCTTCTCTGATGAAACGAAAGTTGAGCTAAATTCAAAGGATAAGCGATCTAAAATCCGAAGAAGCTTTGAAAGCTCTTTGAATTTAGCAATAAGTACTGTCAAGAATCCATTCAGTATAATGTTCTGGGGATGCTTTTATTTTCATGGAATTGGTTTCATAAAACCTATTGAAAAGACCCTCAGAAGCGAGCAGTACAAGAGAATTTTAGAGTCTTGTCTGCTCCCTTCTGCTGAAAGGGTGCAAATCGACCCCACCAAGCTCATTTTTATGCAGAATAATGCTCCCTGTCACAAATCAAAATTGATGAAGGAATACTTTGATGAGAAGCAGGTGAGTGTTATGACATGGCCGCCCCAATCTCCTGACCTCAACCCCATAGAAAACTTATGGGGCATTATAAAGTACAGGCTCTCGAGAAAACAGTTGAGCAACAAAAAGGATTTGATTGTGAATTTCATATCCGAATGGAATTCAATGCTTGAAGATGAGATTTGCCAGAACCTAATCAAGTCAATGCCAAAAAGGGTTGAAATGGTTATTAAAAATAAAGGAGGACCCATAGATTATTAAATATTTCGAACTATATTACCTATTATAAATAAATTATACCTCTATTCTTTATTTAAAGCTGTTTGGTTATGTTTCTATTGATTACTAGTTGCAGGAAATAAGTGAGTCACTTTTTTTTTTGCACAGAGTTTTTCCCTAAATCTCATTTATATCCAAAATTATAATTATCAATAGAACATCTTAGGTTGAGTAAGCTTTTTTACTAGGTGGTCGGGAAGGGTTCTTTATATGAGTAAGATTAAAAATTAGTTTGACCCCAAAAACAATATGCAAAAAAATTTTTAAGTAAAAAATCAGGTGAGTCACTTTTATCGAACAGCACTGTATGTATCACAAGACAATCATTCTATAAGTACGAGGTTCTGACCATCTTCCTTGATTCTCTCACTAATACAAGAGCTCGTCTATAGCTCCTTTCAAAGCTTACGGCCATATCATGTTGGCTTACACCGGTTCTGGTACAATCACTGAAGTTAAGCAATGTTGAGCCAGGACAGTACCTAGATGGTGACCGCTTAGGAATACTAGGTGCTGCAAGTGTGGATGTGTGGGTGGTGTAATGAATAATGAAATCATTAATCAGAAAGCTGAGTTTCAATTCCAGTTGGGTTCATTATATTCACTTACATGTAAATATCCTTGGGAAAGGTATGAATCCACCCCTTCTCCTCTAACTATGGGTTAATTAATAAGAATTGTATCACTAATCTATTATTATCCCCAAAAAAGAAAAATTCTTACAATCTAAAAATATTTTCTGGCTTTAAATAACCTACAAAGCATAGATAAGCCATGTAAAAATAAATGAATCAATGAACACAGTACACAGGCATGTCTTTTAGATTTATTTACATTCTCTGGAGTAGAAATGTATAGAAACTACTGTGGCCACAAAGTGAGGGATGAGCTTATATAAAGATTGTAATATAGTATTGATCCCACACTTTATATCCACATTATTATATACAAAAAGAAAAATTCTTACAATCTAAAAAATATTTTTCTGGCTTTAAATAACCTGCAAATGGTTCATAAGCCATAGAAAAGAAGTTGCTCAAATACTAATTAGCTATACAGGCATATCTTTTAGGTTTATTTACCTTCTCTAGAATGAAGAAAATATCTGGAAAAACAAAACAAAAATCCTTAAAATGCGATTATGTTGTTTTAATATGAATGAAATGTCGACGTCTGACGTCCTGAATATTGTCCTGAAGAAGGTTATTAAACCGAAACGTCAGACGTCGACATTTCATTCATATTAAAACAACATAATCGCATTTTAAGGATTTTTGTTTTGTTTTTCCAGATATTTTCTTCATTCTGTCGGATTTATATCCATTTATATTTGCTTATCATTCTCTAGAATATAAATATACCGTGACTATAAAATGAAAGATCAGTTTATATATTGATTATAATATTGAATTGATTTCCCACTTTATATCTACATTATAATTTCTTGTTTCTTTATCAAATTATGATTAAGTATGAATTGACCTTTTCTCTCCCCAGCTATGGGTTAATTAATAAGACTTGTATCACTAAACAATTATTGTTTTTCTCCCAAAAGTTATTGTCACTCTCTCTTTTTTTTTCTCTTCCTTCTTTCATTCTCTTCTTGATTTTTTTTTATGATTCTCTTTCTCCCATTCGTTATGGTCTTTAAAAAAAAATCTTACAATCTATATTTGCTGGCTTTAAATAACCTTCAAAGGATTGATAAGCCATAAAAAATATATCAATCTATAAATGTCAATTTTGAAACTGTGCTAATGTCATTGATAACTGCATAATATTATGCAACAGGGGAAAAAGGATGACATCAGTATTGCACATGACATAACCAATGTTTTGAACTGTTTTACGGGGTGCAGCAGAAATACCGCTAACATTTTAAAGTATCATATATATATATATATATATATATATATAAAATGTGGGTGGTATTTCTGCCATACCGTGTATAAATAAAAATTGTAGTCAATGTACCTTAAAAATGTACCTTTTACAATTCCCCACTCTCAAATTGTTTTTTTTTTTTTTGTCCCTCCTCCTCCACTAGTGAGTGAACTTCTTTATTCTGTTTATCACTAGAATATAGTGGCCATTTTGATTTTTATGGGTCAGACGGTTCATCACTGACAAAGATTTAAATTCACTTAAATATTTTGTTTATCTTTTATTTGAGGGTTCACCTCCACCCCATTCATGTCATTATAAATTTTTTTTGTATATAAAATAAAAAAATAGTATATTTTCGTATATTCAGAATTTTTTATATATATTTTATTTGGTTGTATCACTAGGTTTTACAGGCTGCAGCAGAAATACCATTAACATTTTAAAGTATCATATATATATATATAAATATATATATATAAAAATATATAATATATAAAATTAGAAAATACAGAGCAATTTAAAGTTTTATTTTGTTTAATAAAATTCTAAATCTTACTGCACTTGTGGCAATAAAAAAATCAAAAATTTTTTTTCTTTAAATAAACTAAGAAAAAAGTAAAATTTTTTATATTTAGAAAATATATTTTATTTGGGTGTATAACTTAAAAAAATGTTTTTTGGTATTTTGGAAAATATGATTTAATAAAATTGTAAATCTATTAGAGTGAATGGGTCTGTCTATATTTCTGAAAAATCAAGAGATTTTTTTCCTCATTTTTCCCCATATCTAAATTTACGCCCTTGTAAGAAAAAAATAATATATTTTTTTATTTATTCACTGAATTTTTATATATATTTTATTTGGGTTCTCCACTGGCACAGTGGATAAAGGCATTGGTTAGGACCCAAAGAGAAAAATATAAGGCATTTTGGAGATAACATGACATTGGATTGAATATAGAGGATGAATTCTTGTGGTGATTGTGTCATCTATTAGAGTGAATGGGTTGTGAATCAGATTAGCTAGGAGTAGGATAGACAGCCTTTTCTCCCTAGCCCTTTGACCTTTGCTTTAATATGCTTATATATGTGCCATTAATGATAGGAAGGTGACAAAATTTGCATATCATAATAACAAAATAAGATGCTTTACTCGAGTTCATGACTTGCCAGGATAAATTTTCTTGTTGGTTTGTACATGCTATTATTACTTTGAATCTTTGGGCATTCAATGTGGTGTAATGATTAGCATGCTTGTCTCACCAGATCAATTGCAAGTAGTGAGTTTGGTCCTCACTGGGTCCTCACTGGCTTTGTGCTACATCTAAGCTGTGCTCAGAAAATCACCATTGCTTTGAATCTTTCATTTAGTAACATACCTTGATTTGTTTGGGTTTTTTAGTAATCCACCTCTTCTCCCCCAGCTATGGGTTAATTAGTAAAACTTGTATCATTAAACCATTATTATCTCCCAAAAGGGAAAAAAAAATTTTACAATCTAAAAATATTTTTGGCTTTAAATATCCTAAAAAGAGTTTATAAACTGAAGAAAACAAATCAATCAACAAATATTAATTTGAAACTGTACTTACGTCATTTTTTTTTTCATTTCACTTCAAGCAAGGTGATAATGCCACTAAGGTGAAAGTGGTTACTGTAAGTGAAAGACAAGGAACAGACTTTAGAAGGAATGAGAAACCCAATTCTAAACAAGGAACAAGGGGATAAACCTCTACTCCTGTTCAAAAGACTGAGGAGGAGTGTGAACCTGACAATGGGCAAACTAATTCAGAGATGTCCTTCTCTGAGACTGGTTGCCAACCATGGCTAGAAAGCCTAATCTGGAGATAGATTTATACCTTTCCCAAGAGTATTTGTGTGAAAGTGAATATAACAAATAGAATTTGAATTCAGCTTTCTGCTTTCTCATTCTGAGTCAGTTTATATTACACTTCCTGGACATCCACAAGGCAGGTTTATTTCTCATTCATACTGCTTGCTTCATTTTCAAACAATGTTGCTTACTTAATCATCATAGAACAAAAAGAAAAATTTGAGCATTACTATAAAAAGCAACAAAAACATGATGAAAGGAAAAGGTAGACAAAAATTAATAATGAAAAAGTATTATTTTATGTCTGACAAAAATACTTTTTCCTTCTTCTAAACATCATTTTGTAGACTCTGTATGTCTTTTTCCAATATCCTGTTTATGGAGTTTAACTTCAAGCAGACATCATTTATCATTACTTGAATAGAAGATGTAAATGTAGTAGTTTCTGTTGAAAATATAGGTTGTTATAAGATAAAGAACAAATAGGAAATGTTTATCAATCTAACATGTTTCACTTTTATTAAAGCTTCATCAGAGAATGAAATATGGAGAAAAGAAAGAAAGAAATTCTGATATCTTTATTTTTGAGTTTTTTGATTTTCATTGGTTAATCAGGTTTCACATCAATTTGACTTGTTAAACAAATGCTAGTATAATTTATGGCATTCTGAATTCAAGAAGAGACATGTCCATTCAATGTTCCAAGAAATTAATAGATTCTGATCCTAAGTGAAAAACTGTAAATATTGCTTTATTTATGTAAGTGTATAACAATTTTACAATTGTTGGCTTTTAGGGGTGGTGTAGGGTTTGCGGTGATTGGGATATTTTATTATTTTATGGTGTGTTGGTTGTTTGGTCGCTTTAATGATGATGATTGAATGTTTGTATGTGTGTATGCATTGTATGTGTGTGCACACATTTACATGCTCACGTACATGTACTTGACTGTGCATTTGCATCTGAGTATGTGCCTATGTAAATGTGTGTATGCATGAGTGTGTACATATCCATATGATTATTGGTGTTGTGTGTTTTGTTTAATGTAAATTAATGTATTTTAGGTGATAATTGTGTAATTTCTTTGTGTGCAGCTCTGTTTTTTTCATTTTTTGGTGTTAATATGTGTGTACATGTGCATATATGCTTGTGTGTATGTTTACTTTTGTGTTGTGATGAGTGTAGGTGTGGATATATATATGTGCATGCACATATGTGTGTACTCATGTGGGCACATGTTAGTTTTTATGTTGTGGTAAGTATAGGTGTTAATTGTGCTTGTGTTTTTTGTTGCTAGTGCATTTGATAGTGAATTGGGTATTTGTTATTGATATTGCAGTTATTCTTTTATCTGATTGGTTTTTCATTTAGTTTTGGTGGGGACAAGGTGTTGAGTGTGGCGAGTTGTGATTTTAATAGGATTGCATTTTATATTGTGTTTGCTTCATTTGCTGGATTTAGGTGGCAACATAAGTATTTATTTGAGTGTCTGCATTTACCCATTATCTTGTTTTTCTTATTTAGTAGTTTGCTTTGGTTTTTAAAAGTGATTATTGTTAATTTTTCCTCTAAGCATAGTTTGCAATTTCTGCTATTGGTATTGTTTGGGGCTGCTCTTTTTATGATTTCCCATTTAATTTTGGTGGGGTGTTTCTTTTTGGTTCCATATATATTTTGATAGGGTTGTATTGTTTGAGTAACTTTCTGTTTTGAATAACATTTTGTGATTGTTAAATCTTTCTTTAAATGTTGTTTCTGTGGCTCCTATGTAAATTTTTTCTTGTGTTAATGTTATTTC